TTTTTTCACCCTTGAGTGGCACTCTTCATACAGTGCTGGTATTTTCCCTTTCATCAAATTTTTCCTACTTGGAATTCTGTAGTGTGGATCCAGTGTCTTGACAAAATTCCTAAAACCCTCATCTTCAACGACAGAGAGAGGTTGCAGGTCCTTTGCGATCATTTCAGCAAGGCTCCTTGTAATATTTATAGCTCTTGGGGAATCACCTAGGTGAAATAACAAAATAATAAATTTTAGTCTGTATAGCCTATCCACATGTAGCTTAAAAAAGGAATCCTATAGTGTCCTTTCATGGTTGTTGTTCAGGAATGCTCAGCCATTTTAATTTAATTTTTCAGGTTTGATGTATATATTTTTTCAGGTAACACTTTACACTAAGGTTCATTAGTAAACATTAGTTAACAGTATTAGTTGAACTAAGCATGAACAATACTTCTACTGCATTTATCCATCTTACTTATACTAATACATTATTTAAATCTAAAGTTTTATTTGTTAACATGCACTGTGACTAACATGAACAATCAATGAATAACTGTCTTTAAAGGAAAGGACGTGACCGGTGACCAAGTATGGTGTCCCAAAACATATTTTCACCGATGTTAGCTACCTGGATATTCTTTGCCTCTCTGAAGCTCAAAGGACTCTGCCAGTGACGTCTGTCTCACTGCCGGGGGTCTGTCTGGAGGATTTCCCTCCTCTCTTCTTTGCTTTTGCAGTTCGTTGTTCTCTTTTTCATGTTGTTTAATGTGTTGTGCAAATTTGTTGTGTTGCCACAGTAGCGAATGGCCTTCTTACATTTATCACAATTCGCTGTGTTTTCATTAACGGCTGTCAAATACTTCCCCACACACCTCAGCTAAAAGACTCTGCTTGCTTGGATATGGCGCTGCTGAGTCACGTGATGGTAGGACAACGAAACACAGCAAAGCAGGGAGGGGTGAACAATGTGCGTGTGAAAGGAGCTGCATAAGAGACAGAGTTCTATACAAGCTCGTTTTAAATATATTTCATGCTAAATAAATTTTAAAAACCCTTAATATCGATATTTTTATGTGAGGATCGACCCTTATCGATACAACGCCTAGAATCGATGTATTGATACTTAAGGATCGATCTGCCCACCCCTATTGTGAGGTTTTAGGACACAAAAGCTACCATAGTAAGTGAGTAGTAATAGTAGTGGAGGTAGAAGTTGCTTTGTTAATGTTATCCAAAGCTAAAAAACACAGTGGAATTGTGGACACTTGCTGAATGATCAACTGCCATAAGTTCTTACAGTCAGCATGTAAAACATATTGGCTGCTTTTTTGTTTGTTTGTTTCCAGCTTGGAACCAGAACAGTGGAACTCAAGTTGCCAAGTTAAAGAGGTTTCACATGATATGGGTAGCAGCTTAAGCAGCTTAGATGAAGAAGTATTGCAACAAACAACAATTTGAGAATACACATTTTACAGCCTAAAGAAAGAAATACCTTGTGTATTTGCTACATTTACATGTGTCATAGACAGGAAGACACCAGTAATTAATAATTTGTCATAGACAGCCTTTCGAAAAGTATGTAAAGTTCTCCAAATTTGACATATCAAAAAATTATGTGATTTATTTCAAGCGAGTCTGAGCAGCAAAACGGGCAGCAGATCCTGCCGACACTGGCATCGGTGAAGCTTCCATACGGTGTCAGCTGATCTCGATTAACTTGACTTCTGTCCAATCACAAGCAGTGTTGTCCCTACCTTTTCTGTAATCTGAAATGTTTTCTTTTTTTGCTGTTTTGTAAAATGTAATTGTTTTTTCTTTTGTTGTTGTGTTTTGTCTTTTGTGAAATGTGGTGTTTTGTGCTCTGCCTTTTGTTGTGTTTTGCACCTTAGGGCCACCGTGTTTAGCTGTATGAGGTCACTACTTTGGAATTTCTATACACAAATTATTTAAATATACAAGACTTTTAAACTTTTCATACAATAATCTGAATTTAATCTCCTTACTCCACAAAATAAGATAGTGTTTTCCTGGGGACAACGGTGTTACTTTTGGACATGTACTGCTGACAGTCCTTCTTTTACTTATCTCTGACAACAGCAGAGCAATGTTAAAATTGAATCAAAGGATCCCTCTTTTTACATCCTTCACCAACATTCTAAAAAAACTAACCTGTGGGGAGAAGGCCACAAAGTTGTTAAAGTCCTCCTTAAAGATGTTCCTCTTCTGGATGCAGGAGTGAACAGAAAATGGTTCTGGATTGTCCACGTGTTGCAGGCACTCCTGGTCAGTCATGGGCTCACTGTTGATGTCCATGGGAAAGTAGGTGCTTTGCATTTCACAGGGTGGAGAGGGCAGACTGCCACTAGAGTACTGGGGCAGATGGTGCAGTTTGTCCAAAGAGGCTGTTCTAAATTTCAACTCCTTGCTGACCCCCAGAAGGAAGTTTGGATCAGAGGTAGGAGTAAACTTCTGACAGATGTTGCACTCAGATGATCTGGGACAGGGAGAGGCAACCTGAGGCACAGGGCGCTGCTGGGGGTGATGGTGATGATGGTGATGGTGGGGGTGTCCATCCCTGGAACGATCCATGTGCTCGCTGTCAGACCTGTACAGGTCGGCTGACTTGTTACGGTGGAACTTGACTCTATGCACTATGGGAAGCTTTTCTTTGGCTATGTCTCCATTCATCTGGATTAAGTTGAACATGGTGACAATGTCTGCTGCCACCGTGATCTTCTTGGACTGTGGGTCCTCCATGGAGCAGCGCATCTTGTCCTTGAAGAGTGTTGCTGGGAAAGCAGGGTCCATGCAGGCCATGTAGAAAAGCAGGCTGCGGAGTTTGGCCAGGTGAACTAGGTCGAAGCGAGTGCACAGGGATTTACACAGGTCCTGATAGGACATGTTGTGCTTGGTGTCCAGCTCCTCCAGGATTTGGACCAGAAACAGAGGGTACTCTGGGAAGGGATCCATGGCTGCTGGGTGGCAGGAAAGGGCCTACAGGGAAGGTCTGAATTCAGGAGGACCCTGGCACCTGGAAAGAACACATCTAAATTTTCATTCAGTGCTAATTAATTGTTTCCTTGACAGGACAAAAATAAAGCATCACAAAATCTCAGCTTCTCACATACAAAGACTGGGACAAATATTTAATGGTTATTGCAGCAGGACTATAATCCACGTTGTATCTCAAATTTATCCTGCTCCTCATAACAGAACCAGCTGACACCGAATCCACCTGCATTAAGACAGCAACTGCAGCTGCAGCTTCTAAATGAGCAGGGCGCGTTCACGGGAATATTTCGGTGTCAGTTCATTTGTATTTGCATGCCGTCACTCACCCTGAGTTTTTAAGAACAGAGCAAGGAATCATCTGATCAGCTTGGTGCAGCGCAGCATGTCTCTCATCGGAGAAAGATAACATAACAGAATCTGAAAATAACATCACCTGGCTCTGAATTCGCAGTGCGCGCTCCAAAAAGGTTGAAAGTGAACTTAGGCAGTCTAAGTAAGAAAAAAGCACAAAGCAACCCAGAAGCACAATACGCTCTCACATAGAGCCGCGGGTAAATGCTGACAGAATTACATCTCCTGTCCCGAACGGTCGGGGTTTACGACTCTAAACAAGGATCCATGCTCCCGGTAATATCCAGCAGGCCGGGCCGTCTCATATGTAGCCTGCCATGTTTTTCCTCTCCCATCTGAAGACCTATCACAGCTGTTTACGGAGCTGTCCGGGAGCTGAAACTGCATGGTGTGCTGAAAACCAGCTAGTGTCAAACTATAAAGATTAGATACTAACCCCAGCGGTTCATGCTTTCAAAATAAGAGGCTTGGGCGGGCAAGAGTTCTTTCAGCTAGGGATGTAGGAAAAAGTAGGTTACATACATTGTAAGTAAACATAATAATAAAGCAATAAACACCAACTTAATAACATAAAATAGGCTAATGCTCTCACTCATTTGCTTTAAAATAACCTACAGAAGTGAAAATACTCATATTACTGTGAATTGCATTTAATTGTAATTTTTGATCCATTCACAAGTAAACAGCATGTTATACTTGAAAGAGGCAAGCGGAGAGTGGCTCTTGTGTGGTCCATCTCCAGACAGTTACAGACATTATGGTAGTAGGTGAGGAACAGCACGAGATAGTGGTGATAGGCATAGCAGTTCCAAGTGGTCCCAGTGGTGGAAGGAGCACTTGGATCTGCGACTCTTAAAGTGGAAGAGTGGTTCCAACAGATCCCAGGAACAACACCAGAGCTCTCTGTGCAGTAGAGTGCAGTCTTAGGAACAGCTAAAATACTGGACACAACCCTTAAACTCCCCAGGCCTCTGGTAGAGGAGGACACACCCATAGGAGTGAGAAGGGAGTTTGATATAATACAATATTTCTAAAGATATATACATGTCTAAATTTAATCTGAGTTTTTTTTTGCCTCTTAAAGCAGTGAGCACCATAATGACTGCACAGGTTATACTAATAGCCAGCAAATTTGTTATATTGTGCATTCCATTCACTTTTTTCAACGCTTTTATTGTGAAGGCAATGCATCTGACTTCCGGTATTAACCTGGTGAATTCTGTGTGCTCGATGCAATTCTTTGTTTCCACATAAAATGACGTAACTACACCTACTGCTGGAGGCTGGAGAAATATGTTATCCCCTCTGCCCCTTTCACATGAGTTGACCCTCCCTCCTCTCTACACATCTGCTGTTTATGGTTGAACTAACATACTGGATGATCTTGCACTGTGAAGTGGGCTCCACAGATCAAGGGTCCTCAGGCGAGTTCAAAGGGACAAGCTTTTTATTATACCATTCATTGTTAAACTAAAATAGGCATTATGCAACATAAACATTCTGATTTTCACTGTTGGCTCTTTCACATTAATGTACTGGAAATATAAAATGCATACCAGCTTTCTCACAAAATGTAAAAGATGTAAAGCCATTTAATATCACCAGAAAATACCACTGAACTTCATTTCTATGGAGGATGTCTCTTTCTAGTGTTCAGGCAGTCTTTTGTCCAGGGTTCTTAGACTGCTTCTACCAGAAAGATGGGGTCATATTATTCGAGTGACACAGCCTAAGGTCAGTACGTTAGTTTGCAGTACCCTTCAGGCTTGTGTGTGTGTACTGTGGATGAGGGGAAACCATGAAGTGCATAACACAATTGTCCTTGACAAAATAGTGGTAAATTTTACAACGCACTGAGAAAAGCAGTTCAACTCTAAATCAGCCTGCTGTGTGGATGGTGGAGATATGGCTGTGTGTGGCAAACAAATGCACAGATCAACTCTTTGTCGTGACCGGGAGAGAAAACATTGTGCTTCATAACCTTTAAGTATTCTGGTTTTATTCTGTTGTCTGTTTGTTAACCTAAATACTTGGAAACTGATGCTGATCTTAGTGCACAGTTTGACCTCAGTGGTCAACGGGTGCTGTGGAGGCCCTCAGGGCTCCTACAGTCCAAACTGTGAATTACAAGCTCCTCATTGCCCTGTAATAATAATAATAATAATAAACTTTATTTATATAGCGCTCTACAACTCGCAAGAGCACCAGAATGCTGTACAGTCAAAACCCAATAAGCAGAGCAAAATGATAACAGAAAAAATACTAGAGTGCTAAACCGACTTCTAAAAACATAAAACAATAAAAACAAATTAGGGCTCAAAAGCCTGCTTAAAAAGTGGGTCTTTAGGGCTGATTTAAAGTCCACTAGATCGTTTTCCAACCGTAGTTCGACCGGCAGGGCATTCCATAGTCTAGGGCCACAAACAGAAAATGAACAGTCGCCCCACTTTTTATAGCGGGATCGCGGGACCACCAGTGACAACTGATCAGTTGATCGGAGAGCTCTCCGCAGCACATAAATAGCCAACAGGTCAGACAAATAAGATGGTGCAAGGCCGTGAATAGCCTTAAAAACAAACAATAATATCTTGAATTTGATTCTGAATTGGATTGGAAGCCAGTGAAGAGCACAGAGAATAGGGGAAATATGAGCAAACTTAGGAGCATTAGATAGTAGCCGAGCTGCTGCATTTTGGACTAATTGTAGTTTGTTGCGCAAAGACTGAGGAACTCCAATATACAGAGCATTGCAATAATCCAACCTTGAGATGACAAATGCATGGATCGCCTTCTCCAAATCACCATGTGACAAAAAAGGTTTCACCTTAGTTAAAAGTCTTAGGTGAAAAAAGCACAACTTAACCACTGCCCTAATCTGTTTCTCAAAGGTAAAACCACAGTAACAACGTCAGGTGACGAGTCAGGCCTGAAAAGGATGTATTCGGTCTTGCTCTCATTTAACTGCAAAATATTTTGCGAAAGCCATTGCCTAATGTCTCGCATGCAGTTATGTAACGGAGTAAGAGCATTGGGGTCAGACAAGAGCAGAGGCATATAGATTTGGACATCCTCGGCGTAAAAGTGGAAATAAGCATTATGCTTAGCTATAATAGCTGCAAGGGGCACAATATATAATGAGAAAAGTAGTGGAGCCAGGGTCGAACCTTGCGGAACACCTGAAAAGAGGGGAGCTATATTGGAAGTGCAGTCACCAATAGTAACAGAAAATGTTCTGTCAGTCAAAAAGGATGAAAACCAGTTCGACACAGTGCCTCTGAGCCCAACAAGGTGTTCTAGTCTCAACAGAAGAATAGCGTGGTCGACTGTATCGAAGGCCGCGGATAAATCCAGAAGAACTAACAAAACAGGGCATTTGTTATCGAGAGCCATAGTAATGTCATTATGAATCTTAAGTAACGCAGATTCAGTACTATGGCGGGGCTTAAAGCCAGATTGAAAATTATCGGTGATATTTAAACAGTCTAAATGTGCAGCTGGGTGGATACGATGTTTTCCAGAATTTTGGACAAAAATGGAAGAATTGAGATTGGACGAAAGGACGACAATAATGAAGAGTCAAGATTAGGTTTTTTAAGGAGTGGGCGAACTATTGCATGCAGAGCAGATGGGACCACACCCGAATCCAAAGAGAGATTAATAAACATGACCAAAATGGGACTGAAAACATCAAAACCCTCCTTAATAAACCTGGCAGGAAGCGGGTCAAGGGGCGAAGAGGTCAGCTTTAAGTGAACTAAAGCGTCTTTTAATTGGAGTATAGAAATCGGAGTAAAAGAATTAAAAATAAGAACTACGGGGGGAACAGGCTGTGAGTGTACTAAGAGTTTCGGCATATTATGCCTGAGAGCCCCAACCTTAGCAATGAAATAACTTAAAAATTGATTACAAAGGGCAGTGAAACCCTCCAGGGGCAAAGCACCGACTGGGTTAATAACAGAGTGTATAGTTCTAAAAAGGACTCTCGGGTTCTGACTGCAGGCTGAAGTCAAGTTCAGCGAGGAGAGGAAAACCTCAGGGCAGGATGGCGGATTATGAACCACAGAGGAATAGAATTCGGAGCCTAAGAACGCAGCAGCAAAGTCAGAGGGGGTAGAAGAAGTGATGATCCTACGCGGGTTAAAACATACCCACATATATTCTTGTGTTACAGGTCCCAGCTGGGGTGACGTGAATACAGATTATTGATCCTGTTTAATACAACAAAAGACGAGAGACAAAGATTTGCGGTCTGACGTCTCATTGCGCTCCTGACAGAATGACAAAGTCACCTGTCACATATGGCGTTATATTTGTGCCAATTTCCGGAGTGAGCAATGGGACATTTTGAGCGCGCGCATCTGACATTCTGAGCACGGGATGTTTTTTGAGCGCACACATAAGTAAAATGCTTTTGCTCAACTATTTATGCCCTCTCACAACCTGCATCTCTGCGCTCGCTCGCTCTATGGGCAGAGATAAAACAAAAGTTTGTGCCTCAAAACTAGAAAAAGCCATGTCAGGCAGGATGCAACACTTTAAAGATGACTTAAAAACAGATGCCAGGCCCCCACCACGGCCAGCGAGACGTGGGGAATTAAGAAATAAATAGTCAGCCGGTAAAAGCTCAGAAAACAGGGTGTTATCCCCACGTTTCAGCCAGGTTTCCGTAATAAAAAGCATATCCAAATCGTGTGTGGTAACAAGATCATTCAGGATAAAAGTTTTGTTATTGAGAGATCTTGCGTTAAACAGGGCAAACTGAAGCCAGCTAGGCTCAACCTGAGGGCACACAGCGTGGGACACTGGGCGCAGATTGGAGTGGAGACAGCGTCGAGTAGAACGTTTCACCAGACGAAGGCGAGGAGGAGGTGGGTCGACGTCCAGACCTACTGGTTGAAGAAAGCGGTAACTGAAGAGGATCGACCAACTTGAACCGACGTAGCCGTTTTCCAGAAGGAGTCCCATCCTCTGAGCCCAGTCCGAAGCAGATTTCAACTTGACGTGTAGTCCTGCTTTCCTGCCGCTTCGTCTCCGTCAAGGCTTAACTGGTGGCGGGTGATGCAAGTGTTGCAGGAAGGGTGGAGCAGACGCCAGCAGAGGCAATGGAGGGTTAAAATGATGACCATGGCAGTAATAAGGGCCGCTGCTCATCGAGTTGCGTATGTTAAACAGTGTCAAACGATCATATATCAAGGTGGGAAATGCAGAGGGAACATCAAAAGCCGCGAAAAGACAGGTACACAAAAGGAGTAGACTGCTAGCCAGACACAGCGGCGCCATCTTGGCGTGTGTGTGGCTACTGGATAAGGAGGATATCTGTCCCAGCTATACCCTGACTGTAGCCCAGTGCATGCTAGGCTTTAGCTGTACAGGAGAGTTGTGCACAGTGGAAAAAAGCCAAGCCAAAAAGTCCATTTAGAACCCTGGTGGAGAGATGTTTAGGGTTTTTTTAATGAAATGTATGAAAAAAAAACAATGTTTTTGCATTTTCTGGAGCTTCTGATAATTGCATTATACTTAAGGAGATGTAGTTTATCTAGCTGTCAAAGAACTTTGTTAAAATTCTCCATTTACTGAGTATTTGAAGGACTTCATCTATATTGGGTTATTGCTGAAGTTTATTCTTAACCTTCGAAACAGCCGTTATCTCACCACAAGCTTAGGAGCTGTCCTGAAACTTTCAATCACATGCAATTCTTCCCCCCAGTGTAATAATACAGTACATTAGTATTGTATCAGTATTACTGGAAAAGCATTCCTCTATATAATTTGCAATGTTAGACATACGTTTGCATATTGCTAAAATGTAAACCTCTTACATTTCGTTGCTGCAGTGGCACCAGAAACCACAGGCTCTATATTCTGTATTAGCCCTGGAACCGGTTATTACTGCTGCGCTACCTGACTGCCACAACTGTTTCCAGCTGTCATGACCACATGTGACGTAGTTTCAGAGACAGCAGGGGATGCTGCTCGAGTTTGTTTGGACCCATTTCACCCTTAACGGTCCAAAATTAGAAGTGTCACTTTAAACCTATTTCTGTCAGGCTAGTAATAAGGTCTGGACTCAAGTGTATGATAGAAGCAGATGGTTAAGTTCAATTATTAAGTTTATTACACAGTAACAAAAGGGGTGAAAATAGCAGTAGATGATAGACTGCATGCACAAGATGACTCATTTTCTGGAATGGCCAGCAAAGGGAGTTCTGACCATGTCAACTTTGTCTCACCTTAGACAATCAGATGGTGAGTATGGCAATCAGACAGTAGCAACAGTATAATTGTAAGATTTGAGTCTTATAGACTCTAGTTACTTTATCAGTTTTAGTTACCTCTCATGCCTTTAGTTCCCTTTAGTTACCTTTCATAACTTTATCTTACCTGATTACAGCTGTATTGATTATTGTGCATTACTGAGCCCTGGTTATTTTCTAACACAGTCATTCTCCTTGCTTATATGTCTTACAATTTGAATGAGGGGATACGTCAGCTTATTGTCTCACACACACACACACACACACACACACACACACACACATCTCCTTAATGAAAGATTCGGCCTACATGATATAATGGAAGATTTTAAGAAACGCACACAGGCCAAAGAAAAAGAATGTGAACATCTCATCAAACAGAAACTGGGCCTGTACAATGAAAATGAGGCTCTAAAGGCAGAGGTACAGGCCCACAAAATGTATAGGGAAAAGATGCCCATGCTCCATAACCAAAGGAGTGACAAGCTGATGATCATGTCCAAGGACAGAGAAATGGACAACATGCAGCAGGACACAGAGAGTCTGATAAGTAAGGTTCAGGAGGCAACTAACAGCTTGAGGGATGCTCAGCGCACCACTGTTGATTTGCAACATGCAAACATTCATCTGCAACTTAGCTTTGACCTCCTCAGACATAATTGCAAACTTCAGCAAGAAATGGGCCAACTGAAAATGAACATCAAGTACACAAAGAACAAGGAAAAACAGAAACTTCAATATGAAAATGACTTTTTCTATAAACAAAAAGTGCGCCTATATGATGTAATTGAAGCGTTTAAGAAACTCACACAGGCCAAAGAAAAGGAATGTGAACAACTCACCAAAGAGAAACTGGACCTGTACAATGATATTGATGCTCTAAAGGCAGAGATGCAGGCCCACAAAAGGTACAAGAAACAAATGGACCAACTGAAAAAGAACATGAAGCGCTCAGGGAACAAGGAAAAACGGGAACTTCAACATGAAAATGACTTTTTCCATAAAGACAGAGTGGGTCTATATGATAGAGTTGAAGATCTTAAGAAACTCGCACAGGCCAAAGAAAAGGAATGTGAACATCTCTTCAATAAGAAACTGGGCCTGTGCAATGAAAATGAGGCTCTAAAGGCAGAGGTACAGGCCCACAAAACGTATAGGGAAAAGATGCCCATGCTCCATAACCAAAGGAGTGACAAGCTGATGATCATGTCCAAGGACAGAGAAATGGACAACATGCAGCAGGACACAGAGAGTCTGATAAGTAAGGTTCAGGAGGCAACTAACAGCTTGAGGGATGCTCAGCGCACCACTGTTGATTTGCAACATGCAAACATTCATCTGCAACTTAGCTTTGACCTCCTCAGACATAATTGCAAACTTCAGCAAGAAATGGGCCAACTGAAAATGAACATCAAGTACACAAAGAACAAGGAAAAACAGAAACTTCAATATGAAAATGACTTTTTCTATAAACAAAAAGTGCGCCTATATGATGTAATTGAAGCGTTTAAGAAACTCACACAGGCCAAAGAAAAGGAATGTGAACAACTCACCAAAGAGAAACTGGACCTGTACAATGATATTGATGCTCTAAAGGCAGAGATGCAGGCCCACAAAAGGTACAAGAAACAAATGGACCAACTGAAAAAGAACATGAAGCGCTCAGGGAACAAGGAAAAACGGGAACTTCAACATGAAAATGACTTTTTCCATAAAGACAGAGTGGGTCTATATGATAGAGTTGAAGATCTTAAGAAACTCGCACAGGCCAAAGAAAAGGAATGTGAACATCTCTTCAAAGAGAAACTGGGCCTGTACAATGAAAATGAGGCTCTAAAGGTGGTCTGGAGGTTGCCATGGATACCACTCACCTACTGCTGCTAAGGGCGGGGCTAATGGTGTGGACAGCAATGACATCACAGTTCATTCTATGCTTTGATCTAGTGGTTGCTATGGATACCAGAACACAGCCTACATTACGGGCATTCACCAGACTGAGATTAAGATAAAACCAGAGCTTTATAGCAGACAGACACACATCTATAAGTGGATTCAGACATTTGTATTATCAGAAAGTTTACAAAATGAGTGAGCAGGAGAAACCCAATGTTGCTGTCAGCCAGGAGGAATGTGAGAACCTCCTCAGACAGAATTGCCAACTTGAGCAAGAAATGCATCAACTGAAATTGAGCATCAACCGCTCAAACAAGAAAAAACGGGAACTTAAACATGAAAATAAGTTTCTCAATAAAGAAGCGGTGGGCCTATATAATATAATTGAAGATCTTAAGAAACTCACAGAGGCCAAAGCAAAGAAAAGTCAACATCTCCTCATAGAGAAACAGGACCTGTTCAATAAAACTGCGGCTCTAAAGGCAGAGATACAAGTCCACCAAAAGTACAGAGAAGAAATGGACCAACTGAAAATTAATATCAAGCGCACAAAGAACAGGAAAAAACAGGAACTTCAACATGAAAATGAATTTTTACTTAAAGAAAGACTCGGCCTATATGATAAAGTGGAAGATCTTAAGAAACACACACAGGCCAAAGAAAAGGAATGTGAACATCTCATCAAAGAGAAACTGGGCCTGTACAATGAAAATGAGGCTCTAAAGGTGAGATGCAGGCCCACAAAAAGTACAGGGAAGACATATCCATGCTCCATAACCAAAGGAGTGACAAGCTGATGATCATATCCAAGGATAGAGTAATGGATGACATGCAGCAGAAAACAGAGAGTCTGGTTCAGGAGCTAACTAACAGCTTGAAGGATGTTCAGCACACCACTATTGAATTGCAATGTGCAAACATTCTTCTGCAACTTAGCTTTGACCTCCTCAGACATAATTGCAAACTTCAGCAAGAAATGGAGCAGCTGAAAATGAACATAAAGTACTCAAAGAACAAGGAAAAACAGGAGCTTCAATATGAAAATCAATTTCTCCATAAAGATAGAGTGTGCCTATATGATATAATTGAAGATCTTAAGAAACTCACACAGGCCAAAGAAGAGGAAGGTGAACATATCATCAAAGAGAAACTGGACCTGTACATTGAAAGTGAGGCTCTAAAGGCAGAGATACAGGCCCACAAAAAATACAGGAAAGAGATGGAGAAACTGAAAAAGAACATGAAGCGCTCAGGGAACAAGGAAAAACGGGAATTTCAACACGACAATGACTTTTTGCATAAAGACCGAGTAGAGCTATATGATAGAGCTGAAGATCTTAAGAAACTCGCACAGGTCAAAGAAAAAAAATGTGAACATCTCATCAAAGAGAAACTGGCCCAGTACAATGAAAATGAGGCTTTAAAGGCAGAGATACAGGCCTACACAAAGTACAGGGAAGAGATGTCCATGCTCCATAACCAAAGGAGTAAAGAGCTGCTGATCATGTCCAAGGATAGAGCAATGGACGACATGCAGCAGGACACAGAGAGTCTGACAAATAAGGTTCAGGAGCTAACTAACAACTTGAAGGATGTTCAGCACACCACTATTGAATTGCAACGTGCAAACATCACACAGTCACAGTTCATTCTGTGCTTTGATCTAGTGGTTGCTATGAACAACAACAAAGCCTACATAAACCAGACTAAGATTCAGACACAACCAGAGCTTTACAGCAGACAGACACACATCTGTATGTGCAAGAATAAATCAAATCAAATCTTTTAGACATTTGTATTATCAGACAAAATGAGTGAGCAAGAGAAACCCATTCCTTTTGTCAGCCAGGAGGAAAGTGAAAACCTCCAAAGAGATAGAGATATTGATGACCTCCTCAGACAGAACTGCCAACTTGAGCAGGAAATGGTCCAGCTGAAAATTTGCATCAGTCGCTCATACATGAAAACACGGGAACTTAAACATGAAAATAAGTTTCTCCGTAAAGAAAGAGTGGGCCTATATGATGTTATTGAAGATCATAAGAAACGCACAGAGGCTAAAGCAAAGAAAAATGAACGTCTCTTCAAAGAGAAACAGGGCCTGTACAATAAAAATGAGGCTCTAAAGGCAGAGATGGAGGCCTATAAAAAGTACAGGGAAGAAATGGAGCAAGTGAAAATGAATTTCAAGCGCACAAAGAACAGAAAAAAACAGGAACTTAAAAGTGAAAATGTAAATCTCCTTAATGAAAGATTCGGCCTACATGATATAATGGAAGATTTTAAGAAACGCACACAGGCCAAAGAAAAAGAATGTGAACATCTCATCAAACAGAAACTGGGCCTGTACAATGAAAATGAGGCTCTAAAGGCAGAGGTACAGGCCCACAAAATGTATAGGGAAAAGATGCCCATGCTCCATAACCAAAGGAGTGACAAGCTGATGATCATGTCCAAGGACAGAGAAATGGACAACATGCAGCAGGACACAGAGAGTCTGATAAGTAAGGTTCAGGAGGCAACTAACAGCTTGAGGGATGCTCAGCGCACCACTGTTGATTTGCAACATGCAAACATTCATCTGCAACTTAGCTTTGACCTCCTCAGACATAATTGCAAACTTCAGCAAGAAATGGGCCAACTGAAAATGAACATCAAGTACACAAAGAACAAGGAAAAACAGAAACTTCAATATGAAAATGACTTTTTCTATAAACAAAAAGTGCGCCTATATGATGTAATTGAAGCGTTTAAGAAACTCACACAGGCCAAAGAAAAGGAATGTGAACAACTCACCAAAGAGAAACTGGACCTGTACAATGATATTGATGCTCTAAAGGCAGAGATGCAGGCCCACAAAAGGTACAAGAAACAAATGGACCAACTGAAAAAGAACATGAAGCGCTCAGGGAACAAGGAAAAACGGGAACTTCAACATGAAAATGACTTTTTCCATAAAGACAGAGTGGGTCTATATGATAGAGTTGAAGATCTTAAGAAACTCGCACAGGCCAAAGAAAAGGAATGTGAACATCTCTTCAATAAGAAACTGGGCCTGTGCAATGAAAATGAGGCTCTAAAGGCAGAGGTACAGGCCCACAAAACGTATAGGGAAAAGATGCCCATGCTCCATAACCAAAGGAGTGACAAGCTGATGATCATGTCCAAGGACAGAGAAATGGACAACATGCAGCAGGACACAGAGAGTCTGATAAGTAAGGTTCAGGAGGCAACTAACAGCTTGAGGGATGCTCAGCGCACCACTGTTGATTTGCAACATGCAAACATTCATCTGCAACTTAGCTTTGACCTCCTCAGACATAATTGCAAACTTCAGCAAGAAATGGGCCAACTGAAAATGAACATCAAGTACACAAAGAACAAGGAAAAACAGAAACTTCAATATGAAAATGACTTTTTCTATAAACAAAAAGTGCGCCTATATGATGTAATTGAAGCGTTTAAGAAACTCACACAGGCCAAAGAAAAGGAATGTGAACAACTCACCAAAGAGAAACTGGACCTGTACAATGATATTGATGCTCTAAAGGCAGAGATGCAGGCCCACAAAAGGTACAAGAAACAAATGGACCAACTGAAAAAGAACATGAAGCGCTCAGGGAACAAGGAAAAACGGGAACTTCAACATGAAAATGACTTTTTCCATAAAGACAGAGTGGGTCTATATGATAGAGTTGAAGATCTTAAGAAACTCGCACAGGCCAAAGAAAAGGAATGTGAACATCTCTTCAAAGAGAAACTGGGCCTGTACAATGAAAATGAGGCTCTAAAGGTGGTCTGGAGGTTGCCATGGATACCACTCACCTACTGCTGCTAAGGGCGGGGCTAATGGTGTGGACAGCAATGACATCACAGTTCATTCTATGCTTTGATCTAGTGGTTGCTATGGATACCAGAACACAGCCTACATTACGGGCATTCACCAGACTGAGATTAAGATAAAACCAGAGCTTTATAGCAGACAGACACACATCTATAAGTGGATTCAGACATTTGTATTATCAGAAAGTTTACAAAATGAGTGAGCAGGAGAAACCCAATGTTGCTGTCAGCCAGGAGGAATGTGAGAACCTCCTCAGACAGAATTGCCAACTTGAGCAAGAAATGCATCAACTGAAATTGAGCATCAACCGCTCAAACAAGAAAAAACGGGAACTTAAACATGAAAATAAGTTTCTCAATAAAGAAGCGGTGGGCCTATATAATATAATTGAAGATCTTAAGAAACTCACAGAGGCCAAAGCAAAGAAAAGTCAACATCTCCTCATAGAGAAACAGGACCTGTTCAATAAAACTGCGGCTCTAAAGGCAGAGATACAAGTCCACCAAAAGTACAGAGAAGAAATGGACCAACTGAAAATTAATATCAAGCGCACAAAGAACAGGAAAAAACAGGAACTTCAACATGAAAATGAATTTTTACTTAAAGAAAGACTCGGCCTATATGATAAAGTGGAAGATCTTAAGAAACACACACAGGCCAAAGAAAAGGAATGTGAACATCTCATCAAAGAGAAACTGGGCCTGTACAATGAAAATGAGGCTCTAAAGGTGAGATGCAGGCCCACAAAAAGTACAGGGAAGACATATCCATGCTCCATAACCAAAGGAGTGACAAGCTGATGATCATATCCAAGGATAGAGTAATGGATGACATGCAGCAGAAAACAGAGAGTCTGGTTCAGGAGCTAACTAACAGCTTGAAGGATGTTCAGCACACCACTATTGAATTGCAATGTGCAAACATTCTTCTGCAACTTAGCTTTGACCTCCTCAGACATAATTGCAAACTTCAGCAAGAAATGGAGCAGCTGAAAATGAACATAAAGTACTCAAAGAACAAGGAAAAACAGGAGCTTCAATATGAAAATCAATTTCTCCATAAAGATAGAGTGTGCCTATATGATATAATTGAAGATCTTAAGAAACTCACACAGGCCAAAGAAGAGGAAGGTGAACATATCATCAAAGAGAAACTGGACCTGTACATTGAAAGTGAGGCTCTAAAGGCAGAGATACAGGCCCACAAAAAATACAGGAAAGAGATGGAGAAACTGAAAAAGAACATGAAGCGCTCAGGGAACAAGGAAAAACGGGAATTTCAACACGACAATGACTTTTTGCATAAAGACCGAGTAGAGCTATATGATAGAGCTGAAGATCTTAAGAAACTCGCACAGGTCAAAGAAAAAAAATGTGAACATCTCATCAAAGAGAAACTGGCCCAGTACAATGAAAATGAGGCTTTAAAGGCAGAGATACAGGCCTACACAAAGTACAGGGAAGAGATGTCCATGCTCCATAACCAAAGGAGTAAAGAGCTGCTGATCATGTCCAAGGATAGAGCAATGGACGACATGCAGCAGGACACAGAGAGTCTGACAAATAAGGTTCAGGAGCTAACTAACAACTTGAAGGATGTTCAGCACACCACTATTGAATTGCAACGTGCAAACATCACACAGTCACAGTTCATTCTGTGCTTTGATCTAGTGGTTGCTATGAACAACAACAAAGCCTACATAAACCAGACTAAGATTCAGACACAACCAGAGCTTTACAGCAGACAGACACACATCTGTATGTGCAAGAATAAATCAAATCAAATCTTTTAGACATTTGTATTATCAGACAAAATGAGTGAGCAAGAGAAACCCATTCCTTTTGTCAGCCAGGAGGAAAGTGAAAACCTCCAAAGAGATAGAGATATTGATGACCTCCTCAGACAGAACTGCCAACTTGAGCAGGAAATGGTCCAGCTGAAAATTTGCATCAGTCGCTCATACATGAAAACACGGGAACTTAAACATGAAAATAAGTTTCTCCGTAAAGAAAGAGTGGGCCTATATGATGTTATTGAAGATCATAAGAAACGCACAGAGGCTAAAGCAAAGAAAAATGAACGTCTCTTCAAAGAGAAACAGGGCCTGTACAATAAAAATGAGGCTCTAAAGGCAGAGATGGAGGCCTATAAAAAGTACAGGGAAGAAATGGAGCAAGTGAAAATGAATTTCAAGCGCACAAAGAACAGAAAAAAACAGGAACTTAAAAGTGAAAATGTAAATCTCCTTAATGAAAGATTCGGCCTACATGATATAATGGAAGATTTTAAGAAACGCACACAGGCCAAAGAAAAAGAATGTGAACATCTCATCAAACAGAAACTGGGCCTGTACAATGAAAATGAGGCTCTAAAGGCAGAGGTACAGGCCCACAAAATGTATAGGGAAAAGATGCCCATGCTCCATAACCAAAGGAGTGACAAGCTGATGATCATGTCCAAGGACAGAGAAATGGACAACATGCAGCAGGACACAGAGAGTCTGATAAGTAAGGTTCAGGAGGCAACTAACAGCTTGAGGGATGCTCAGCGCACCACTGTTGATTTGCAACATGCAAACATTCATCTGCAACTTAGCTTTGACCTCCTCAGACATAATTGCAAACTTCAGCAAGAAATGGGCCAACTGAAAATGAACATCAAGTACACAAAGAACAAGGAAAAACAGAAACTTCAATATGAAAATGACTTTTTCTATAAACAAAAAGTGCGCCTATATGATGTAATTGAAGCGTTTAAGAAACTCACACAGGCCAAAGAAAAGGAATGTGAACAACTCACCAAAGAGAAACTGGACCTGTACAATGATATTGATGCTCTAAAGGCAGAGATGCAGGCCCACAAAAGGTACAAGAAACAAATGGACCAACTGAAAAAGAACATGAAGCGCTCAGGGAACAAGGAAAAACGGGAACTTCAACATGAAAATGACTTTTTCCATAAAGACAGAGTGGGTCTATATGATAGAGTTGAAGATCTTAAGAAACTCGCACAGGCCAAAGAAAAGGAATGTGAACATCTCTTCAATAAGAAACTGGGCCTGTGCAATGAAAATGAGGCTCTAAAGGCAGAGGTACAGGCCCACAAAACGTATAGGGAAAAGATGCCCATGCTCCATAACCAAAGGAGTGACAAGCTGATGATCATGTCCAAGGACAGAGAAATGGACAACATGCAGCAGGACACAGAGAGTCTGATAAGTAAGGTTCAGGAGGCAACTAACAGCTTGAGGGATGCTCAGCGCACCACTGTTGATTTGCAACATGCAAACATTCATCTGCAACTTAGCTTTGACCTCCTCAGACATAATTGCAAACTTCAGCAAGAAATGGGCCAACTGAAAATGAACATCAAGTACACAAAGAACAAGGAAAAACAGAAACTTCAATATGAAAATGACTTTTTCTATAAACAAAAAGTGCGCCTATATGATGTAATTGAAGCGTTTAAGAAACTCACACAGGCCAAAGAAAAGGAATGTGAACAACTCACCAAAGAGAAACTGGACCTGTACAATGATATTGATGCTCTAAAGGCAGAGATGCAGGCCCACAAAAGGTACAAGAAACAAATGGACCAACTGAAAAAGAACATGAAGCGCTCAGGGAACAAGGAAAAACGGGAACTTCAACATGAAAATGACTTTTTCCATAAAGACAGAGTGGGTCTATATGATAGAGTTGAAGATCTTAAGAAACTCGCACAGGCCAAAGAAAAGGAATGTGAACATCTCTTCAAAGAGAAACTGGGCCTGTACAATGAAAATGAGGCTCTAAAGGTGGTCTGGAGGTTGCCATGGATACCACTCACCTACTGCTGCTAAGGGCGGGGCTAATGGTGTGGACAGCAATGACATCACAGTTCATTCTATGCTTTGATCTAGTGGTTGCTATGGATACCAGAACACAGCCTACATTACGGGCATTCACCAGACTGAGATTAAGATAAAACCAGAGCTTTATAGCAGACAGACACACATCTATAAGTGGATTCAGACATTTGTATTATCAGAAAGTTTACAAAATGAGTGAGCAGGAGAAACCCAATGTTGCTGTCAGCCAGGAGGAATGTGAGAACCTCCTCAGACAGAATTGCCAACTTGAGCAAGAAATGCATCAACTGAAATTGAGCATCAACCGCTCAAACAAGAAAAAACGGGAACTTAAACATGAAAATAAGTTTCTCAATAAAGAAGCGGTGGGCCTATATAATATAATTGAAGATCTTAAGAAACTCACAGAGGCCAAAGCAAAGAAAAGTCAACATCTCCTCATAGAGAAACAGGACCTGTTCAATAAAACTGCGGATCTCAAGGCAGAGATACAAGTCCACCAAAAGTACAGAGAAGAAATGGACCAACTGAAAATTAATATCAAGCGCACAAAGAACAGGAAAAAACAGGAACTTCAACATGAAAATGAATTTTTACTTAAAGAAAGACTCGGCCTATATGATAAAGTGGAAGATCTTAAGAAACACACACAGGCCAAAGAAAAGGAATGTGAACATCTCATCAAAGAGAAACTGGGCCTGTACAATGAAAATGAGGCTCTAAAGGTGAGATGCAGGCCCACAAAAAGTACAGGGAAGACATATCCATGCTCCATAACCAAAGGAGTGACAAGCTGATGATCATATCCAAGGATAGAGTAATGGATGACATGCAGCAGAAAACAGAGAGTCTGGTTCAGGAGCTAACTAACAGCTTGAAGGATGTTCAGCACACCACTATTGAATTGCAATGTGCAAACATTCTTCTGCAACTTAGCTTTGACCTCCTCAGACATAATTGCAAACTTCAGCAAGAAATGGAGCAGCTGAAAATGAACATAAAGTACTCAAAGAACAAGGAAAAACAGGAGCTTCAATATGAAAATCAATTTCTCCATAAAGATAGAGTGTGCCTATATGATATAATTGAAGATCTTAAGAAACTCACACAGGCCAAAGAAGAGGAAGGTGAACATATCATCAAAGAGAAACTGGACCTGTACATTGAAAGTGAGGCTCTAAAGGCAGAGATACAGGCCCACAAAAAATACAGGAAAGAGATGGAGAAACTGAAAAAGAACATGAAGCGCTCAGGGAACAAGGAAAAACGGGAATTTCAACACGACAATGACTTTTTGCATAAAGACCGAGTAGAGCTATATGATAGAGCTGAAGATCTTAAGAAACTCGCACAGGTCAAAGAAAAAAAATGTGAACATCTCATCAAAGAGAAACTGGCCCAGTACAATGAAAATGAGGCTTTAAAGTGTTAGGTTATTTTTTAGTTAGATAGATATTCAGAGATTTGTTGTCTAGGACTGTTAGTGTAGCCAGGATGTCTTCCTCAGGCTGTTAAATGCAAGGTTAGTTAAGGCAGAGAAAGGCTGCAGTCAGGGACAAATGTTATTATGACTGTAAAAGTAACCATAATATTTGTCTTAATGTGTAATGTTATGTCAAATTGTTTTAGATACACACCACGAAAACAACAGCCACACACATTATTTTCTTCATGTTTGGTCTACTGCTCTGCTCAGCTGCCAAGCTGGCATATCAGGTGACGTCACGGTTCGACAGCCCAGAAAGGATTAATATTGTATAGCAATGCGTGGTTCGGGGTCTTCCTGTTTCCGGGCTGCTTTTGGCAGGCTGGGGGTTGGAAGATCTCTGGACTTGAAGTGTAAATTCTTGCCTGTGACTTTTTGAATAAACCAGCACGGATATATTTTTTATATACTCAAGTGGTCTGAGTCGTCCCTCTGAGTTCCTGGTTTGAAAGAACCAGATGAGGCTTTATAATGGTTTTCAGCCTTTATTAGATTCTAACAAAGCTGACTAATGGTATGTGGTACTCACACTTGTGTTCTCTTGTTTCTGCAGGTGAATGGAGCAGAGAATGGCAGAACAGCCCAGAGGTGGCGATGGCGCAGCAGGTCAGCTGGCAGCCCATCCGGCAGCCCATCCAGCTGAAAAAGAACAGTGGCCAGAGCAGGCGAGTGCCTACAGCAATCTTAGGAGGAGAGCAGGTAAGCAGTGAGGTGAGTATAACAGAGACAAACAACTCATGAGCCGGTAAGGGGCCATGCAGGTAGCTCCCCAGCCTCCTGTCGGTCAGGAGGCTGGGAGAAAGACAATAACTCTTTGATGTGCACATAAGCGAAAAGAAACTGAGCTCAGTTAAAAAAAAACCTCACTGCAAACAGAGTCTAAACATAAAAGTAGCAGGGGGGAAAAAACAGAAGTCCAGGCAGACTGAGTACAATCCAAATGCTGGGGGGTGGGTAGAGCAGTTGTCCCCCAACCAGAAGGTTGAAGGTTCGAATCTCAGTGCCGGCAGTCCACGTGTTGAAGTGTCCTTGGGCAAGACACTGAACCCCCCCCGTTGCCCCTGATGATTAAAGCCATCGGTTGAGGTGGCGCCGCAGATGGCTGCCATCGGTTCTGTACTAAAAAAAATTCCTTGTGTGTAACATACTTGGCCAATAAAGGTGATTATCCTTATCCAAACACACAAATCCTCAGGACTTGGGTGGATCAGAAACATAGGTTGGCAACAATATGGGAACAAATGCAGAACCAGAGTAGCTAGATGGTCTACTCAGCAGGTCAGATGATCTGGAAACTGACAGAAAGTACAACTCTGTTTAAATATCCTGAGGACAAATGAAGACAGATGAAATGCATTAGCCACTGATTAGCTGAGGTGAAGCTGGAGAGTGACAGGTTGCAGAAACAAAAAAGAGTCCAGGACTGGAAGCCAGTATGGCCCATTATGATTTCCATGATATCCCACAAAATGCAGACTAAGAATAGCTACTGTCACAAAAATGTATTTGCCAATAGCCTAAACATCTACCATTCATTTAACTTTACTGTCAGGTCCGCTCGGCGCGACCTGCCTCTCTTTAGCCTTTCTCTCTCCTGCTCTTTCCTTTTTTGTGGGATCAGCACCTCAGCTGTGTCACTTGTTGTAATTAGTGACTCGTGGGTTGTCGCGCACAGCTGAGGTGCGTTACTATAATGACTTCCCTATCTTATTTATACCTCTGGCAGACGCTCCGTCGTCACCGGAGCATCGTTTCACTATACGTTATCGTATGATATGTAAAAAAGACGTATGCCTTACTGCCGCTGCTTGGAATGTGTAAATGACGTTTCTGGATGCAGAAAGTGTGCACGTGTGATGCTAAGGGAGTCTATGCTGACAGTATCTGTGTGCGGATTATCCTGAAGTGCGTGGCAGTGGTGTGTTTAGGCTATACGTAACTGGCATCAACGCTGACAGACTGTGCGTTGATGTCGGCATGTTTGCCTCTTATTTTTATCTGTCCTATGCTTTTGGTTCCTGCCGTTAGGCCGCTCTACTCAAAATACGTGTTCTAGATTTCAACGCTAACAGTGACTGTGCTGTTGATTTCTTTTATCACGTTGTTTACATGTTTGTGTTACGTAACGAGATCTAAACGCTGACAGTCCCTGTGCTGTTGATTTCCTTGTACGTAAATGTTTGTTTGTAGATGGACATTAGTTAGACCACTGGATACTTCAACGCTGACAGTTTCTGTGCTGTTGATTGTCTTTTGGGCATTGGGCCTGTGGTTTTTTTTTTTTTTTTTTTTTTTTTTTTTTTTAATACCGTTACAATTATGTGAAGACCTGTTCGTCCTAGTCTTCTCAGCCATCCTCCTGTCTTCTTACCTGCTTGTCCTAGTCTCCTCAACCATCTCTGCCTTACCCGGACTGTATAAGTACATGGACTTTGTTATGTTCTTTTGTTACTTTGTGTTTTCTCATTAAACCACCATTTTTCTACTAGCACTTGGGTCTGCAAACTTGAGTCCTACCCTAGTTCTCCCTCACCCTCCTGGTGAGGGGGCCGAAACCATAACACCTACTGAAAAACCAAGTTACTGTAATATCAGTAAGCTGTGTTCAATCATGTTACATTTCCTGGCTGATTAAGTATAGCCTTTAACTGGACTGAGTGGAAAAGCAGAGGGCTGGAGGTATGAAGCTACTAAATGGACTCCCAAGTATCACACAGTTTGGAACTGTGCATAGCCCAAACACACAGTTACGATTGATAGCAAACAATGTTAAGTGTCTAGGACTCTAGGTTGTTCACACAGGCTTTTTACAAATTAGAGTTGTAAACATGACAGCGGTTTTAGTAACTGCAGCCCTACAAAGAGATGGCTAGATAATTCAGTTGTTTGAATCACACCATGTTCAAATGACAGCTTTCACACCAGCCCAACATGCAAACGGCCCATAGCTTGTTTTAACCATAAAAAGTTGGCATGTAAACAATGCACTGCAGCAAGCACAAATAATGTTATGCCCTGTGATTGTCAGATAATCAGCAATAAGAAGACCCAAATGCATGACACTGCATAAAAGCTGGAGATTTGTTTTGTGGATAAATGAAGGGGCAGGGACTGGACTAGTGAAGATGGTTATGGTATTCAGGTAGATCTCCAGCATGGAGTCTAGACCACTAGAGGTTGACACTCACTGTACGGACTGGTGCACTGGGAGATACAGGTAACAGGTGTCTGCAGTGGTGCCACGGGAGCTGTCTTGGGACTTGGATCTCTTCTGCTGCTGCAGAACAAGGGAGAAACCTTCTGGGAAGTGAACTGTCTACAGTATGGACAAAGTCAAGAGTTTATTGTCATATGCACAGTGAAGAAACAACTTTTCCTGTACAATGAAATTCTCGCTTTGCCATCCACACGAATGCCACACAGTATAAGTGAAATATAACGCAGATACATAGGCAACACAAAATCAAAATCACAAAATCTAAGGCACCTTAAAACAGCCAATGAAAGAAGCATAACAAAAAAATACAAGAACACAATATAAAGAAGGGAGAATATATGCTACATGGGAGCTGTGTGTGCAAATACTCAGCAGTGAGTGTGCAATTATGCATATGTGAACTGAGTATGTAAACAGTACAAATGGAATTACATGAAGCGGATCCTGAGTCAGCTGTTTAGAAGTCTGATGGCAGTTGGAAAGAAAATGTCTTTGAGTCTAGAAGTCCTGCATTTCACACTTCTGATCCTCTAGCCGAAGAGTAGGGGTGTGAACAGTCTGCTGGGGTGGGTGGGTCCTTGAGGATGGAGGCAGCTTTCCTATGCACCTTGCGGTGGTAAATGTTCTGCGGAGAGGGTAGTGGAGTTCTGGTGATCTTCTCCGCAGTCTTTACCACTCTCTGCAGGTGCTTGCAGTCCATAGCAGTAGTGCTGCCATACCAGACAGTGATGCAGCTGGT